CGCGGGCTGCCCTCAGGCCCCCGCGGGCTCTGCGCCACCGCCCGGAGGCTCGCCTTCTGCTGTCACTCGGGGACCGCCGGGTGCATCCCCCGGGCAACCGTCTCCAGGGAGACTGGGCCCCGCCCCCGGCCCCAGACTCCGGTACGAACCCACCTGCGTGAGCGTCTGCGGGGTCCCAGTGCCGCGCGGCGCGCCCGCCCTCCGGGCGCTGCGCTTTGTCCGCTTGGGGCGGGGCAGACACGGACCGGAGAGGGGAACGCGGCCCGCGGGGCGTGGGGCTGGACGGGACCCAGGCCGGGGCCGAGGCGGACTCGCGTTCTGCTTCTCTGGCGGGGCCGGTGCGATGCTCGGCTGCGCGCCTGCTGTGCCCGATCGCGCCCCGCCGGTGCCCCGGGAGGGATGGGGGTCTGGGGCGTCTCCGCTGCCCGCCCTTGAAGGGCCCCGCTCGGGAACGCGCTTGTCCGGGGCGAGCTGTTTACTGTCAGGGACGGAGCAGTGGCCTTGCGCGCCCTCCCCTCCCCCCGCCCCCATTCCGGAGGCGCGCGAGGACCCTGCCCGGGGCCCGATCCGAGGGTCACCCTACGGAAGACTAGGTCCTGGGGTCCTCGTGGGAAGTGCCTTCTCCCAGCTGTCCTGCTGTGCTTTCTCCCGGGCTCCTAATTTCCTGACCTGTATTCCAGGTCTTTCCCCGCCTTCCGCAACTCTGCTGCTCTCAGCCGCACCGCCCATCCCGCTCATTTATCTCCCCGCGTTTCCTGCTCGAGTAGCGGGTCCCAGTTCCCTGCTACGCAGCTGGGGTCCCCCATCCTCCGGTCCACTCCAGAACTGGCCCTGGCGTTGATCAGCACAGGGAGCGTTTCTGCCTTCGCTCCCGGCCCAGGCCTCGCGTTCCCTGGCCCCGCTGGAGAAACCCTGGCGCTCCTTCCTGGGATGTGGGCTGCGGGGACCGTCCCAGCCGCCTTTCCGCGGCCACCTGCACGGGGTCTGCCTTCCTGGAGCTGGGCTGGCGGCTACAAGTCCCTCTTGCTGCCTGGGGGATGTGTTTCCGGAATTGACACCTATTCCGGCGAGGCCAGCCACGGTCGGTTTCCTACCTGTCAGGAGCCCTCCCCAACCCTGCCTGGTGGGTTCCTGGCAGGACCTCCCACCCCGGGGAGACAGTGCCGCCCAGGGCCATGGGGGAGGGCGAGTCCCACGGCTGGAATCCAGGCTGCAGGGCTTCCGGTGCTCCGGCGTCTCTTGCTCGCTCCCTGGGGTCAGATGATTTCCAGGAGGGTGGGGAGACACCACCACTCCAGGAGTGCGCGGCCCCTCCCGCACGCGCTTCTCCAGGCGGCCTCCGCTTTTCTTCTCCAGAAGGCAGGGACGGCGTTTCCTTCTCCAGAAGATTCGAGCTCAAAGTTAGCTTCCTCCTCCTAGGGGCCATCGGGCCATGTCAAGTTCACATACCTGCCCTGGAAGGGAACTCGAGCTCAGGCCTGACTCAGATCACTTACTTTCCTTCCCAAACAACTCTGGAAGGGATCGCAGGCATCAGCGATGACTTGCTTCAGGCCCTGGAGGTGTTAGCAGCCTTGTCTTGCTCAGTACCCCCAAAGGGAGCCTGGGGGTGGCTAGGATGCAGATGGTGAGATAGGCCCACCAAGCCCACTGTGACTGTTTTATAAAAAGGCAAATGAGGGGAAGTAGTTGTTTTTGAGCTAAGATCTTGTAAGTGAACGGGTGGCTTTTTGAATGCTTTGTTGTCTTCTTGTTGTTACCGCTGAGTAACACACAGCAAAACACTAGTGGCACAATTTCTGCAGGAACAATTCAGTGTCGTTGATGGTGTTCTCCCATGCTCTTACAAAAAAAGCCTCCCTCCCAGGGGGACAGACAACAGAAAAGTGGGTGAAGGGAGACATCAGTCCGTGTAAGACATGCAATAATAATAATAATTTATAAATGATCAAGGGCTCATGAGGGTGGGAGAGGGAGGGGGAAAATGAGTTGCTGATTCCAAGGGCTCAAGTAGAAAGAAAATGTTATGAAAATGATGATGGTAACTTATGTACAAATGTGCTTGACAGAATGGATGTAGGTATGGATTGTGATAAGAGCTGTATGAGCCCCCAATAAAATGATTTTTTAAAAGTCATTCTCCTTTCAGGCACATCAGGAGCTCAGAGTGAGGCAAGGGCGGAATGACACGTGTTGCCTTTAAAGCATCTCTACACTGCCAGACAGAGGGGCCTTTGCTTCGGCTTTGTCTTGGACCATCACAGAGAGGTAGGTTGGGGCAATGGGGGAGGAAGAAGAAACCGTTCTCGGGCAGCTGGAGAAAGAATGTGGACCAGATCTGCTCTGCCCGTTTCTCTCACCAGAGGGACGCTTCTCCATGGACTGTAATGCCCAAAGGAGAGAATGACCCAAATTTGTGTTTGGAGCCAGCAGGGGGAAGCTAGCTAGACTTTAGCCAAGATCCCCAAGGAGGGATGCTGCTGCCTGGGAAGCATTGCTCTCTGAAGCCCTGGAGTCCGTTTTGAAGTTACTTGTGGAGTTGCTGGGCTGGTCTATTTTGGGAAAGAAAAACTAGAATATTCTTCCAAATTAAATTTTTCCTAAGTCAGGTCTGCTTTTCAAGGAGTCCTTAGCTGGAGGTGTCCCCTCTCCACCCCTTCCCCCTCCCCAGAGAATTGGCCAGGACTTTATTGGGAATAAGATATTCTTCGGAGCTGGCAGGATATTAGGCTTGGAAGATAAGAGTTGTGCAAATGAAGAAACAGAGACCATCTAGTGTTGGGCTAAGCACCCCCTGCCTGGGGTCCTGGGGGATCCGGGGATGGTGCAACATGGGAAAGGCAGGTAAGGCAGGTGTTACAGCACCTTTGAGGCTTTCTCCTTGGCCTCTTCTCGGCCTCATTTTCCATACATCGTCCAGAACTTCTGTACTGGGGTGAATCGTGCCCCCACTTCCCTTAAATTCATGTCCACCCCAAAAACAAAACCCAGTACCATCAAGTTGGTCCTGACTCGTAATGACCCTCTGTAGAGTTTCCAAGATTATAAATTTTGGGGAGCAGACAGCCTCTTCTTTCTCCCCAGGAGTCATTGGCAGGTGTGAACCGCTAACTGTTGTTCACAGCCCAAGACTTTGAATGCAACCGTATTTGGAAACAGGGCCTTTGCAGATGAAAGCAAGTTAATATTAGGTCATACTAGATTAGGGAGAAACCAGTTCTGTCAAATCCTATTCTGACTTGTGACAGCTTCATGTCTGTCGCAGCAACACTGTGCCCCACGGGTTTTCAAGGGCTGGTTTTTCTGAAGGAGATAGGGCTTTCTTTCAAGGCACCTCTGGATGGACCCGAAACTCCAACCTGTGGGTTACCAGCTGTGTCAGTCCAGGTAGACTAGAGAAACAAATTCATAAACAGGCATATGTGTATAAGAAAGAGGTTTATATACAAAGGTAGTTGAATATTGAGAAAACATCCCAGCCCAGCCCAGATCAAGTCCATAAGTCCAATATTAGCCCATACATTCATTACCAATCTATAAAGTCCTCTTCTGACTCACGAAACCCATGCAATAACACTGATTGCAGGAAGATCACAGGCCAGTGGGTTGGAAGTCTTGTGGATCCAGTGGCTTTGTAAGCATCTCAGCACTGGCGGGGGTCTCTATGTGGCTTCTCTGCCTCCAGAGGTCTGGTTGCATCAGGGTAGGTCCATGTGGCCTCTCCAGCTCCCAGGGTGAAGTGCCATGTGTCTTGTCAGTAGAGCATCTTTCAGGGAGTGAGCAGAGAGAGAGAAGTGTCTCCTGCCTCCAAGGAGGAAATTCAGGAGTTCCCAGAATTTTCCAGGGGCCATTCCCATACAGAGGTCTCATTGGCTATATCTTGATTGACAGGCCAGACTCCACCCCTTCACTCGTCATCCTCTCAAATTGACACCAGATTATGTAACTACCACACCAGCCAAGTGCATTAACTGGGTACACCACCCAGGGACTCCTATACACCTCTCAGACAAAAGTCACCAGAGAGAAAGGAGGCCAAGTAAGAGTGGCGAGCAGACCGGTATCCGACTCTTCAGAAAGGACACGAAGCTAGAAAACAACGGGGAGAGAATTTCAAATTTACAAGAGAAGTAACTTTCCAAGCTAGAGTTCTCTATTCACTGTTATTCAAGTGAAAGAGTCAAATGAAGACTTTTTAGAATATGTGAATTAAATATATATCGATATCTAGATTTACTATCTATAATACATTCTATATTTATATATATCTAATATATGTATACATCACCCTCTTTCATATATCCATTTTTGAGGAATCTGCTGGAGGATGGGCTCCAGCAAAATAAGGAAGAACAAGCTGTCCAATGACTCGGTGTTCACCTCTTGTGATACTTTGAGTTTGTGGGGCGAGGAGAAAAACCAATGATCCCCTGCCCCAGGGGGACTAAAGAGTACTCGCTCCTGAGTGTACCCTGTAATCAGGGCTAGGTGTGTGGTCTGGCCGCCATTGGTGATGAAGCGTGTGCTCCGGCCTGGGCTGTGGTGCTGGCAGCAGTGCTGGCACAGAGGCAACTTCAAGATGGACACCATGGGACCCAGTGACTGGGGCAACAACAGCCAGGTGGTCCTCAGGTGTGATTCTGCATTATGGCGCCCGTGTCAGATACAACTGTGTTTCTTTTCTTGTTGAACTTTTTGTTTGTCCTGGACTGATAGATTCCTTCTTTTATGTGCTTTGTTTTCAATGTATTCATCACGGATGTTCCCTAAACCCTTCAACAGTACTCTGAAAGCCAGTACCGCGTAAGAAGTAGGTCGGGGAATCCATCAACTCCTTCCCGGTTTCGTCAGCCACAGTTGGCGTCTTTACTTGAAGCCAACATCTTTGAATGGCTGGAAGGGAGGCTCATGGGATTTCCATGGTGATGGTGAAGCCGTGACCCTAACTGTGCAGTGCATTTGGAGAACAACCCACCCTGTTTGAGTCAGATGCCAGAGGGCCCAGGAGGACTATCCCCAAAGGAAACGGGACTGACATCGGTTAGCTGACATGTTTGCTGTCTTGTGAGCAGTTTTAAAGCACTGTAGGGGAGTTGGATAAGAATTATTGATTTAGATATCGAAAACAAAGCAAATTTTAAAATAAGGCAACTAATACCACTTGTCTGCCAGTGTTTGTTTATATTACGGTGGCTTGTGTGTTGCTGTGATGCTAGAAGCTATGTCGCCAGTATTTTAAATACCAGCAGGGTCCCTCCAGGTGAACAGGTTTCAATGGGGCATCTAGTCGAAGAACACACTATGAAGAGAGAATTGGCTGTCCACTTTTGAGGGACTGGCCCTGAAAACCGGATGAATCGCCCTGAAGTGTTATCAGGGTGGAAGGCGCTCAAAATAACAAGCAAAGAGCTGCCTCCTCAGAGTAGAGTCGAACATCGTGACGTGGACGGAGGAAACCCGCGGCAGCTTCCTTTGATGATGGGCTGACTCAGAACGAGGAGAAACAGCGGTCAACGGCCATTACTAATCAGAACGTAGAACGTGCAAAGCAGAAATCTAGGAAACATGGAAGTCATCCAAGAAGTAGAGGACATGAAATTAATTGCGTTGATGATTGTACAACTCTTCTTAATGTGATTGAATGACTAAATTGTATGGTGTGTGAAGCATCTGTCAATAAAACTGTTTAAAAGATCATAACAAAAGATAAAGTAGGACCGTGGACCTCAGAAGATACTATTAGACTTTGAGAAAAACTGGGACTGCCGAGACCAGAATGTAGGGGTAGCAGCAGAGAAACGGTTTGAGGTTCAGTATAATCAAAGCCATCAGAACTGGCAAAGGGGAAAACGAGCCTGAGGTACCATGTGTAGTAACATTGTAAGAACTATTGTGTATGCTGTGAATAACTCCCATAAGAAAGGGGAAAATGAATTAAAAAGTGAATCTTAAGAAACACTTGGAAAGAAAAAAGAAAGGAAGAAATTGAACATCTAAAGATCAGTAGTCTATGGATTAGTGAGCTAAAATGGACGGGTATTGGCCTTTTTGTATCAGACAATCATGGTTTACTGTCAGGAATGACAACTTCAAGAAAAATGGCATCAGATCTATCATCAAAAACTCCCCAAACCAAAAAACATTTCAAGTTCTATCTTGAAGTGCAATGCTGACTGTGCTCAGATAAAATCTAAACATATACAAAGAAATACAATTGATAGGACTATTATTCAAATGTATGCACCAACCATGAAAACGAGGGATGAAGAAATTGAAGAATGTTACCCATGTCTTCAGTCTGAACGTCATCAAGCATGCAATCCAGACGCATGTATAATTACTGGCAATTGGGATTCAAAAGTTGGAAGCAAAGAGGAAAGGATGCTAGTTAGAAAATATGGCTTTAGTGATTAAAAAACAAAAAACAAAGCTGGAGGTCACCTGATCGAATTTTGCTAGACTGATGACTTCTTTGTTGCAAATACTTTTTTCAGCAACCTAAGTGAGGTCCTGTTCATGTGGATCTCACCAGACGGATTACACGGGGTTCAAACGGATTACGTCTGTGCCAAGAGATGGTGAGGAAACTCAAATGGGCAGCCAAGCCGGAGGCAGGGGGCTGACTGGGACAGACCACCTCTTGCTCATATGTAAGTACAGGTTGAGGTGGAACAAAATGAGAACAAGTCCATGAGAGCCATAGTATGACCTTGAATATCCCACTTGAATGTTGAGAACATCAAAATTCAACAACAGATTTGACACATAGAACTCTAATGACAGAGAGCTGACAAGCTGTGGGATGATAACAAGAACATCATACACGAAGAAAGCAAAGGACCTTTCAAGAGACAAGAAATAAAGACAAGATCTAAGTGAATGGCAGAAGAGACACTGAAATTTGCCCTTAAATGTAGTTTAACTAAACAAATGGAAGAAAAGATGAAGGAAAAAAAGGAATTGAACTTTTCAAGGGCAGCTCCAGAAAACAAAGCATTATAATGAAACGTGCAAAGACCTGGAGTTAAAAGCCAAAGAGGGAGATCATGCTCAGCATAGCTCACGCTGAAAGATATGGAGAAAAAAATTCAAGCCTTGAGCTACCATACTGAAGGATTCTATGGGCAAAATATTGACTCAGGCAGGGAGCATCAAAGGACAGTAGAAGGAATACCCAGAGCCACTATGCCAAAGGAACTGACTCAATGATTTCAAAAGGCAGCATACTATCAAGAGCCAGTTGTACTGCAGGAAGAAGTCCAAGCTGT